CAGTCTCAGATAATTACTTCCTTGAAAGACCCTGATATCAGGTTTGTTTAGATTTGCCATCTCAGCATCAGCTTTTATGGCTTGTGTACCCGGATCAGTATCTCTTTTACTGCTCAAACTTGGAACCAGTAGGACAATTTTTTTTAATCATGAAATCGGTCATTGATTCAGTATACCATATAATGTGGATTTGAGGGGAAAAAAAAGAGTAGATGTGGATTTAAGATCAATTCAGCCAGAATTAAAATTAGTGACATGAGTTGTATATGAAACTCTTAGGCAATGGAATCCAATAGGTAAGTACTGTTTCTTTGACCTTTTTAATAATAAGATGAACTTTTTTAATAATAAGATCGAGTACGACAGTCCATTTGGTCTTAATCCTATTTCAGTTGCAAATGGTGTATTCTGTTTTAAGATCCAATAGTTTAATTTATATTCTCTTGGTTCTTTTGCTATTTCTATCAGACTCATTATTGGTTGAAATTTCTGCAGTATTCGTAGGCGTGCTCTTGATTTGCTCTATGGAATGTGCGATGTGTCAAATGCAAAGGATATAGTCGAAGAGTTGTTGCAAGTAAGTGTTTGACCTTGCTTCAAATTGATATTTTATTTATAGTGTCCTTATGACTTGATAAGTTTATCACAAAGGAAGGATTATGTAGTGTTTAAGCTTACATGAAACCCAAATATACATTACAGTATCTTAGCACAGCAGAGTTTTCCATGCGGGAGGAATTATCACTTAAAGCTGCTATTCTTGCTGAGAAGTTTGCTCCTGATCTATCATGGTAAGGAGAACTCCACAAAAAGTATATGTACACTTTTTTCATGCAGACAATTTTGGTTACAGTGACCTTTAGACCCTTACACTAGCAGTTGGTCAAAGATTCTAATTTTGATGTTCTCAGGTATGTTGATGTGATCCTTCAGTTGATCGACAAGGCTGGGGATTTCGTTAGTGATGACATTTGGTTTCGTGTGGTTCAGTTTGTAACAAATAATGAAGACCTTCAGGTTTCAAAATTGTTAGGAGAAATATATTGTTTATCCTAATAAAACATTCGAAAGTTGCTTACAATTTTCTTTGATCTGACAGCCTTATGCCGCATCAAAAGCAAGAGAATATCTGGACAAAGTCGCAATACATGAGACCATGTTGAAGGTTGTACATTCTCGTTTCTCATTAAAAAATCTTTATATTGCATATTCGGATTAGTTATAATATAACTTTAACTGGGTAACTAGAGTTACTACCTTGCTATTGTCTGTTCTGAATTGAAAAGTAGAAAATATCAATGCTTAATACGAACTTTTTGGTCATTTTCTATATTTCAGGTCAGTGCTTATATTTTGGGGGAGTATGGTCACCTTTTAGCTAGACAACCTGGATGCAGTGCTACTGAACTCTTTAGCATCTTACATGAGAAGCTTCCCACAGTGTCGTAAGGACAATACAAACTCCTCATTGTGTTCTTCTTGTCTTTGGGTATGTCTTAAAATGCCTCTTCTACTATTTCCTCAGGACTCCCACGATTCCTATTCTTCTTTCCACATATGCAAAGCTTCTTATGCACACTCAACCCCCGGATCCAGAACTGCAAAAAAAAATTTGGGCTGTATTTAAAAAGTGAGTGTAGCTAACCTTGTTGTCCTTTACCAGTCTCATTTTATGTTCTGTTATTTTTTGGTAATCAAATCAAGTTTCCTAAAAGAGTTTTATTTCGGCAGGTATGAGAGTTGTATTGATGTGGAGATACAACAGAGGGCAGTTGAATATTTTGAATTGAGTAAAAAAGGGGCTGCATTTATGGATGTATTAGCCGAAATGCCAAAATTCCCAGAGCGCCAGGTTTCAAAATTATTTATGATTCTATGAATGTTACTTTGAAAGGACGTTTGTGCTAATAGATCTGATGCTGGATTATTTTCCGTGTCTCTTCCATAGTCTTCATTGATTAAAAAGGCAGAAGACGTTGAAGATACCGCAGACCAGAGTGCCATCAAGCTTAGAACACAACAACAGCCTTCAAATGCTTTGGTTTTGGCTGACCCACAACCTGTTGATGGGGCACCCCCACCTTTGAAGGTGCCAATTGTAAGTGGAAGCACAGTAAGTATTTACTTCTCTTTGTAGGCTCCAGTTGACGAGACATTGTTCTTGTGCTTTGTCTTTATATAGCACCTAATTTTATCTTATTATCTCTGACAGTCTGTATTTCCTTGCATGTCTAGCAGGACCCTGATTCAGTGGCTCGATCTCTCTCTCAGCCATATGGAACTAGTAATATAGATCCACAAACTCCATCACCTGATCTCCTAAGTGACCTGCTTGGTCCTCTTGCGATAGAGGCTCCACCTGGATCTGTCTCTACCGAACAACATGGCCCCACACGGGCAGAAGGTGTTCCAGATGAAGTTGATGGTTCCGCCATTGTACCCGTTGAAGAGCAAGCAAATTCAGTGGAGGTATTCTTTTCTTCTTCTTTGGTTTCTTTGGCATGGATGAAGTTATACTTCTAATTTCTGTTTCCTCTTTTTGTAAATTATTTGGAAATGGTATTACAATTAGATGGAATTCTACCTGAGAGGTTCTATTTCACAGTTCTAATCTTCTCAGGAGTTGTTTCACATAATAATATTACAGCTGCTAAACTTGGTGGATTTGTCGTAATCGACATTGTATACATTTACAATTGATATCAATAGAAGAAACCAAATCATTATTGTACTCCATAGTACTGTTGACATGCTAGAATTGTTTTCTTATACACTTTTTTCCTCTAACAGCTGATCGGAAATATTGCCGAGAGATTTCATGCTCTATGTTTGAAAGACAGTGGTGTCTTATACGAGGATCCTCATATCCAGGTTTGTTTTTCCTATATCATTTCTTTTCTCGCTGCTTGTATCTATTCAGTACGCAGATTGCTGACAGGCAAGGCTCCTACTTTTTGAGCTTTCTTATGTTCCTCATTATGTTGATTGTTTATATTCCTCAGATTGGCATCAAAGCTGAATGGAGAGGACACCATGGGAGACTTGTTCTCTTCATGGGAAACAAGAATACTTCTCCACTTACATCAGTCCAAGCTTTGATACTACCCCCTGCCCATTTAAGACTAGATCTGTCTCCAGTACCTGATACGATTCCTCCTCGAGCACAGGTACATTTGTTTGTTGATTTTTTTCCAATTTACTACTCCATGTCTCAGTCTGTCAATTTCTACTCATTTCTGCGTACTTTACTAAGTGTTGTAATTTCTTTCATAATTATAGGTACAATCCCCACTTGAAGTGATGAACATCCGCCCTAGTAGGGATGTTGCGGTTTTGGATTTCTCCTACAAGTTTGGTACAAACCTGGTACTTACTGCAACTGTCCTTTTTGGTGAATGGTTTATTTAGTATGATAGTATGTGCGACTCTTTCTGACATGCTGGATATTTATAGGTTAGTGCAAAACTAAGAATCCCAGCAACCTTGAATAAGTTTCTTCAACCTCTGCAATTGACATCTGAAGAATTCTTCCCGCAATGGAGAGCACTTTCAGGGCCACCCTTGAAACTTCAAGAAGTTGTATGTATCTCCACATCTTCTCTGGCCAAATATCAAAGAAAAGTATTTGAGTAGTGCAGGAAAGAAGTAAAATTCTCCTGAGAATTTTCTTTTAAATGAAATTAGTGAATTTTGAGTTTAATCACAACGCTTGTAGATAACTGCAATATCCACTAATGATCGTTTAAGTGGCCCAAATCACTCATGCAGGACTTCCAACATGTCTACATATGCTTGTTAATGCAGCATTACGGTAACCTGTTATATACAGTAATCTGAAACTTCAACTTCTTTCAGGTTAGAGGTGTAAGACCACTTGCTCTTCCGGAAATGGCAAATCTATTCAACAGTTTCCATGTGACGATATGCCCTGGGCTTGTAAGTAATTTGGTTACAATCTCCCACATGCTTGTTGCACACCCTTTAAATTAACTGTAATGTTTTCTGTTGCAGGATCCAAACCCTAATAATCTAGTGGCAAGTACAACCTTCTACTCAGAAAGTACAGGAGCCATGCTCTGTTTGGTGAGCATTTTACCCAAGTTTCTCATACTGGTTTTGGCACTTGTCCTCAGTTATTGCACTCTCAAAGAGTCTGTTGTGTGACATTGTTCAAGTTTTGTGATTTTTAGGCAAGAATTGAAACAGACCCAGCAGACAGAACCCAACTGCGACTGACTGTAGGCTCTGGAGATCCTACTCTAACATTTGAGTATGATATCTCTGCCTCTTAACAGGAATTCAGCTTCAAACACAGTTTTTGTTCCTCTTCATTTATTGACCTCTTTTATCCACAGGTTGAAAGAATTCATCAAGGAACAATTAATCACTATACCAATGGGATCTCGAGCTCTAGTTCCAGCAGCAGGACCAGGACCAGCACCCACACCACCTGTAGCTCAACCGCCTAGCCCGGCCGCTTTAGCTGATGATCCAGGAGCTCTGCTTGCTGGCTTACTTTAACTTCATTGGGGTAAGAGAATACTTGCAGATATCGAAAAATATTTTTTTTTCGTTATTGTAGATTGTGTGGCAAAAAATGTGGAATGATAGGAGAGTAAATGTAGGACCGATGGGGAGAGGGGGAGGGTTGAATAGAAAATCTAGTTTTGATCATATTTGTGCCTGTTATCCAAAGCGGGCGAGTTGAGTTAGCTACGAAATTTTGCATTCATTCTGCACATTTGTATTGTGAGGTCAAGTGGTTGATCAGCTCTTGCTCTTGTTCCTATATATTTTCAATCTGTTTCTCCAATGATTTATCTAAGTGAATGAATCTCTGTTTCTCGCCTTGTTTGGTCTTATTTTATGTCATTGAGAGGTTTTAATCTCTAGTAAATCCAGTAACTAGAGGAGGGAAATTACCAAAACACATCCCAAACGCATAACATTTCAACAATTAAAAACCTTATCTACTTTAAGGAGTTGTATAAAATTGGATATGTTCTAGAATCATTTCTTTCCAAAATTACAAGTATTCTAGTATCCAAATAAATATTGGCATTAAGTCAGTACCAGAACACCGATGGTCTCAAGTAATATCATTCAAGACTTGGTATATATAGTATTGGTATCATTCTCAAGCAAAACGAGCATCAAAGAAACTCGGAGACTCCTTTGCAGAAACAACAGAAATACGAGCTTATCTCCTGTGCCTTGCAAGGAGAGCTTTTACTTATTTTCATACAAATTTAATTTACTTCTTTTGACAACACGTACTCTTTGTATTCCCTTCATTAAAAACCCCAAAAGCAGCACAAATGGCCTATAGCCAGAAAATGCAAACATAAAAGAATTGTATGGAAACTTAACTTTGGGAGGAGAAAACCTGCCAGCTACAGCCACTCACGGCAACGACCGCATCTCCAGCTACCTCCCGTGCAGGTAGATTCCTCCTCCCATGGAGAACAGTGGGAATGTATAGTCATAGTACAAGTCTGACATGTGAGATCAGGTTCAGGATCCACATGCATACATATCTGACATGGAATTGTATTGTCAGAGAGAAATGCTCTACACTGTTCCACTGTTGTCTCAACCTGAGGGTTCGGGTTATCCATGTTTCCTAAAGCATTCTTGTAATCTCCATGCCCATCGCACTGGCCACTATCATCTGTTGTGAGTAACTCGGTAAGAGAGAAATATGTTTGAGGTTCGAATTCCATGTCTTCGTAGTCAAACATTAGCTCGCCTTCAACCATGTTGTTGTTGCCAGATGCATCCCATTCCATGACAGGAAATGTTGCCTCCATTTCTGGTTTCACAATAGGTATTGATTCGGGTTGCATTAAAAACTCGGTGTAAGAAAAACTACTATTCCCGTCTGTGTCTTCACGTTTCACTTGTCTCCTAACTTGTAGCTTCTGGGGTCCTGGCACTGAACCATCCCCGTTCCATTCGACATCCACATTGTTAGGTGTAGATTGTTCAACTTTTGAAACTGACATCAAGAGAGGATCATCCTCTGGAACAAACGTATCTTCAAAGGGGAATGAGGGAGTAGAGGGCATGGAGTCTTTTGGTTCAGACATTCTTTCAGAATCAGAATCCATTCCAATACTTCCTTTCTTAGGTTTCTGCCTCCTGGAGAATACTTGTTTCATCTGCTTCTGTTCCCTCAGTATGGGATCCATGTAAGGGCAATCTGGTGATCTTATACGACGGCATTTGCAACACTTGAACCCAACAACTTCAGGAATTTTCGATTCCTCGAGCTTAATCGCTTCGATATGGTACCACTCTGCATACAGATGCTAGGATTAGATTTGTAAGAGGAAACTGGTGGCATTGACGAAATTTACACTTCCATATAGAATTTTAGAGTAAACTTTTCTTACTGTCACAGCTTGTACAGTGAATATATGTTAGACCAGGATTATACGGCAGTTTGCAGAGCCAGCAAACTGGTTCCGGATTCGGCTGACCAGAGCGTGCAGCCAACAGAACATGTTGATGTCTGAAGCTAACACCTGTGTCTTCCAAGCTCTTTTTCCTCCATATGACTCCCCAAGACAATGTTTTGTGTTTACTTTTAGGTGCCAAATTGGAATCAGGAGTGATTTGTTTAACTCCTGACGTGGTGTTGCGTATGTCGGAAGATGCTAACTGTTGATTAAGAGGCTTAATCTGTGTCTTGGTGACTGGAGTGACTGCATGTTGATTAAGACTCTTACCCTGTGTCTTGGTGACTTGAGTGACTGCATTTTGATGTGGTCTGTTGACAAGGACAGCAGCTGTTGTTGGATGCCTATGATTGATATTGATTAGTGAACGGGCTCTTGCAAGGTAGCACCGTTTGCAGGTTACCAAAAGTTCAACTCTCCCACTTGTGTGTGGTGTACTCATAGTACATTCCTTGTGGCAGTAACCTGAGAGGGAAAAAAAATAAATCAATGATTATATCGCTACAAATCCTTCAGCAAAATTAGCCAATGGAAAAAACAAAACAAATATGAGATCCATGAGAATTTCAGTACCAAGCAAAATAAACAAATATAAGCAGAGGACATCATCCTCGAAAAATATGAAACAAACAAAAAATAGAATTGCAATAGAATTCGTTCATCAAGAAATACAGATGAGGAAACAAAAGAAACTCTTTTTTTATGTGTATGCAGGAATTTTTCTACTTGTTCTTGAGATAAGGAAACAGATACTGCAACTTTAACAATTAAAAACAAAGAAAACGGCATAGGAAATAATGACATCTCTTGTCAAATGCATACAAATACCAATAACTTGCAAAAGTCTCCAACCTAAATTGCAAAATTAAAACAGCAACCAGGTGTAGTGTACCTTGGCAAGTACTGCATGTTGTTGCATCCCTGTGGACATAGAGAACGGGAACCAAAAATAATGAGGTACATAAGAATTTTTATTAAGTATCCTGACAGGAAAGAAGGCAAATGAAAATACCTCACAAAAACATTGAGATGACATGATGCACAAGAACACTTCTCCGTGCTGTCCCTCCGGGAGGCTAGATAAGAAAATATGTTCGCTCGAGAAGCTTTAAGTTGCATTTTCTGGAGCTTTGATATTTTTCTTGACGGTTTCTTGATGAAAGGTATGTGTACCCTATGCAAACTTTCTTCATATTCTTTGATCAAATATAAGGGAACGCGTGCTTCAAGAAACCAATATTTTTCCTTTCCATCTTCAGTTTTCTCGACTTCAGTGATATTCTTCATGACACGGGATGGCAGATGCTTTTGATTCCCAAAGACAACTCCATATCTAACCTTGTTATCTATAATCTTCTTGTCACAAATACTAGCGTTCCTAAAAACAGTGGCCTCTGTCTCTGGACCTTTAACATCTTGCACGTTTTGCTCTGGGCGTACAAGTTCACTCCATCTTATATTCAGATCTAGGTATCTAACCTGGCCCAGATTCAGTTGAATTTAGGGGATCATCAATTAAAAAATCATAGATATACAATCATTTGAATATGCATTGATGATAGAAGACAAACCTGAAGAGCAAGCTGAGATATGTTTTTGCTACTTTCAACTGCGGCTTTCCACATAGACCGCCTGCTTCTTTTAGGAATGTAAGAACCATCACTATAACTAAACTCCGGAAACTTTTTCACACCACCTAATGGAAAACAAGAAGGAAAAGGATTTTAGCACCATCCCAAAAGTAAAATTAAACAGGATAACTCTGATAGAAGTATCCAAACACTATAAGAAACATTGTATATTTACGTGAGAATGTTGACAAGCACCAAAAACATAGCCATACAAGGTTACCTTGCGAAGCTGCTTTCCTTCTCTTAGGCTTCAACAAGACAGCCTTCAGGAGTATAACTTTTGATATCTTCCCCCCTCGCCACCAAGTAAAGCTATCATCATCAGAACCTTGGGCTGTAATTTCGGCCTGGTTCCTCTGCCTCCTCTTACCAGGTCTATGTTTCTGTGTGCCCGCAACAGTAACTGGAGCGCTTTGAAATATAGAATGTTCTATTAACCACTCATCCACTAATTTAAGCCAGTCACTTGACAGAGCAATACTACAAATGTTTTCCTCAAGCTGCGAACAAGCAAAATGAACCCTATCATGCCAATGAAAACACCCCATATATAATGACAAACCAAGGACTGTTAACATATCACTTTTTGGTTGACAAGTGATACATCAAATCCGAAAAGTGCAAATGACAAGAAAAAATACAATTATTTGTTTATAGGAAAAGAAAGAGAATACGAACAAAAAATTTTGGAAAGAAAAAAAGATACTTACTTCAAGCAGGAGGGCTTTAATCGCTTTGCATGTTGAAGCTTCCTCTAACTTCTTACGCCACTGATACCTAAAACTCTCACTAAGAAATGGCCCCGCAATGAGACCACGTAAGCTTTCCTCCAGATATAGGAGATATGCTGCAATACTAGAAAGTACTCCATCCCCATTTTTAAGTGGAAAAAGGTCACTGTAGACTTTCATGGCACTTTTGGTGGCCCCTGTTACAGCTGCATTTAACATGCATCCTCTCCTACTTGCCGAAGTGAGTTTGCAAGAATGACACCATCCACACCTTTCCCTTGTGATTTCCTTCTTATCAGGACTTGGCCAGAAGAAACGCAAGGCTACTAACGAAAATGCTTTCACCTGTAGCAAGATGTTACTCGCTGCAGCTTTCTTGGCGTTACTAAATTTTTGAAGATCAGGTTCATGGGTTTCCTCTGACAATAGGACAGCAAAAGTAGCAGCAGCTGATGCAGCCAATTCTCCATTAGTGTAATGATTAATGTAAGTATGAGGTTTAAATGAAGAACCCTTGAGTGTAATGCCAGCAACTAGATTCTTCTCTTGCACTCCACTTGGTCCTCCTAATACGGGACTGCCAGTACAGCCTGAAGCAGATGCGTGGAGGCCAAACGCAATTTGAATTTTATTTCCACTGGAACTACTTGCACTATCAGGTCTAAATACGGCTGACACCTCGTCGCACCCTTCTTTTTGCATGTGTGCTAAATCAATCTCCACTGCTCTCAGATAAGAGATCAAACCTCCAGGCAGATCCCAGTATTGCGAGATCGCTTTGCATATATACAGATATTCCATTCTATGGTTCGTTGCAGACAAAAGCACCAGGGCAACTTTTGGAATGTCGGTGGCATCGTAGTATTTAATATCTGCATCCGCATGGACAGAAATTTTAAGCCTGTAATATAAGCGAAATATTCATCAGCGTCTACTAAGAAACAATTCAAGCAATATGGTTTTCCAACATTAAGAAAAATCTAGACAAGATGATAAGTATAGACTGCAAAAACCAATTTGTCGAGAATCTAAATGAATATGGAAAAATACAGAATTGAAGATCAGCTTGAAAGACAGTATCTGAAATAAGGGGTCGAAAACATACACCAGTAAGTGATTGCATGTACCCAAGAAGAGTCGCCCATGTGGATCCACTCCAAAATACACTGCTCCCCTGAGTGACGTTTTATGAGCAATAGTTGGCCCTATTTTATTGATTGTGCATTCTGGACAATACCACGGCCCATCTGGTATATACATTTTGATCACACCAATGCATCTCGAGTGATATGCTAAAGGGCATCCATCACAGCACAGCAACGTCCCATCCATGCCGCAGAGCCTACATTCATCACTGTTCCCATCCAGATCTGAGCTATCTCCATGACCACCATCAGTATATCTTGAACTCAAATTTTTTGACTCATTCATTGAAGTTATCCCATGATTAACTGCAACAAATTCACTAAGCTCTTTCTCCTTGCAAGCTGAGGTTTTAGCAAATCTGGGGTGGACCCTTCTAGGTCCAGTTTCAGGAAGGTCAGCAGTAACGCCATCAGGATCAACTCCAACTTCAGATTCTTCTCGAGTATCAATTTCAGCTCTTACATCTGCTACATCAAAGACATCATCACACAGAATTTGCAGGATCTTCAACTTCATCACTACAGGTGAGGAATAATACTCTTTCTCCACAACGTATTCATTAAAAACTCTCCAGAGAGGCCCACTTGCATGTCCCATGGCAGAAAAGTACTGAACCAAATAAACAGGCCAAGTTAGCGCATCGAGCAAGCTCCAATCAATGCACCTGCAGATGGTAATGCAACAAAATCCCCGAATTGTTATCCACTAAGATATTGGAGATCCTAAACCAACTTCACCTAAACTATGAATAAGATAATTCTATTACAGTTTCTCTACAGCCATATGCCATTCTCTCCCAGCTAATAAAAAATGTACATTTAAAACAAACAAAGAAAAAGAACAGAATTCATGAGCTTTAAATTTGATGTCAGCAATTCTGCTTCCTTAGAGTTCATATACCCAACAAACTTCTGCTGTTTCACGAAATGATTAATGCACTGAAAAAAAACTAAGGATATGGGAAAGTAAACTTAAAACATCTCCGGAAAGCAACACATAAAGTTACAAAATCAAGACAATACATTAACAAAGACATCTGTTGAAAACTGTAAACAGCAAAAGTTGTCTGCGCTTACCTCAGGAATTTCGAAGCCACTTCAGACCCTTCTAAGGAGAGTCTTTCAAGATGACCCTTCAGTGCCCGCATCAAGGCAACATGAATGGCATCCAGCAAAGAATTTGGTCCTCCGAAATTCAATGCTCCCACAAAATCATCCAATCCAAATGGGAGGATATATAACTGAACACTGAATGATCTTAAGAAACCGTATACAGATAAAAGATGCACCACAGCCTCCTCAGGGATACAAATTGTTCCTGATGAAGAAGGTAAATCCACTGGTGGAACTGGGACAAGAGGCGACATAGTTTCTATATATGGATCTCTGTTATCTTCACAGTCAGGTAAACAAGAAGACGAACAACCACTTTCAACTTCTGCCACAGAACTTGGGCTAGTAGATGTGGGCACCTCAACTTCATTCACTCGATTTTGCAGCTCAACTCCTTTGTTCTTGATGTAATCTGTTTTCTTCCTTTCGTCCTTTTTCAGTATAAATTCGTCTAATTTACTTCTTCTAACACGTAATTCATCATCAAAGTAACTATCCCCAATAATTAACTGACGAAGATAACAAGTTTCCAGATCCTCAAACTCACCATCCTCATAATCAACTCTATACAACCCACTATTATACGAAATTATCTTCCCAAGAGAAACTCTACTGTCATCAAAATCCTTCAACACATAACGACCAAGAAGAGATCTAGGTACTGTCACTTTCATCTCCAAAACCGGCCTCTTCCCTCGATTAGACACTCCATTTTGATCATCAGGTCTCTGGCGTTTCCTCGGTCTACCTCTAGGTCTAGCCACCTTTCCTTCCATCAATTCCACCTAAACCAGATCCAAATCAGTCCCCAGATTCAAATATCGTTAATCCATTTCTCCTATGATTCCAAAAATCACTCCTTTTCCATAAATCGAACCATATAAGGCATAGCCACATCAAAATCTAAGATCCACGAAACTCCTATAAATTGAAGCTGAAGCAAAAAGAAATCAGAACCATGATCCAACAATAAAAAACACTCCCCACCGATAAATCTGAAATCTTTCACTTTTGAACTTCGAAATGGATAGAATTTATGCTAAACCTTACTAGATTTTGATAACCGCCATTAATGAAGCACTTACAGAGCTCATGTAAACCAAAAAAGAGAGAGAAAGAAAAAAAGATGAGCTTTAACAATCGTGTCACTACAGTTCTCACTAATGGCAGATTTTGTGGTCTATTGTTTAACTGAGTTCAACTCGGGAATCGGGTTACCCGGATCTAGACCCGCTGGATACTTTAACGTCGCCGTTTCAGTATTTACTTTTCATTTTTGTCACTTAAAAATAAAAATATTATAATGGCGGGAGTTTGGATACTATCGTCGCTAATTTACGCGCGTTTCTCGGGTCCGGCAGATTTCGTACGCCGCCGTCGATCTGCTTCAATTTCTAAATTGGGTTAGCTTGTTTCGGCGTTCTTTAGCCACAATCTGTCTGAAATTTCAAGAAATTTTCAAACTTTCCCCCTGATATTTTAGGGTTAGGGTTTTGATATGGGAACGAAAGTTTCAGAAGATTTGGTTTCTACAGTCAGAGCAGTTGTGGGTTCCGATTACTCTGACATGGACATAAGACGGGCTTTGCATATGGCGAATCATGACCCAACGGCAGCCATCAATATAATCTTTGACACTCCAACTTTCAGCAAACCACCTGATGTTGTAGCCACTCCTATCCCAAGTGGCTCTAATGGAGGGAAGAAAGTAGATAATGGAATACATGGCTGTACTTTTGCAAGTGTTGGAGAGAATCATCGTGCGGAGGAAGAAGATGAGTGTGTTAATGGTGGAGAAGAGAGTGTTCTAGGGAATGAGTGGTGGTTTGTGGGCTGTTCTGAATTGGCGGGGTTGTCGACATGTAAAGGAAGGAAATTGAAGTCCGGTGACGAATTGGTGTTCACGTTTCCGCATAGTAAAGGATCAAAGTCTGAGACTACGCCTGGGAAGCGCGGATTTGGACGGGGAAGGCCAGCTTTGCGTGGTGCTTCTGATATCGTCAGGTTCTCTACAAAGGATTCAGGAGAGGTGCATTTTGATTTCTTGTTTTATTTGGTTGCGGGTTCGCTCTTAATCTGTTATGTTTTCATGTTTATGGGATGGAAAACTGTTAAATGGGATTTATTGTCATAGATTGGTAGAATACCAAATGAGTGGGCACGGTGTCTTCTACCACTTGTGAGAGACAAGAAAATTCGGATAGAAGGGAGCTGCAAGTTGGCGCCTGAAACATTGAGTATCATGGACACTATTCTTCTTTCTGTAAGGTATGCATACAAGATATTGCGTTCCAATTGACTATGCTAGGGTAGATGCATTGGTTTTTGAAGTGGTGTGTTTGTTTTTGAAACAGCGTGTATATTAATAGTTCCATGTTCCAAAAGCATAGTGCAACATCATTTAAGACAGCCAGTACTACGGCAGAGGATTCAGTGTTCCATCCTCTCCCAAATCTCTTTCGTTTACTTGGTTTGATCCCCTTTAAGAAGGTACTGGTTTGCCCTTGCCTATAATCCTTTGAATTGCTAACTGTTTTAAAGATTGTCGTTTAAAGTTCCCATATGATGTGACTGCGAGTTCTTGAGATGGCACAAGAATATTTCCATTCTTTGATTTTAATTTAGTTGGCCAGTTATCTGTGACAATGTTTCATTGTTCTTCTTCATGTCTAGGCAGAGTTTACTCCTGAGGACTTGTCCACTAGGAAGCGACCTTTGAGTTCCAAGGTAAAATTTGCATTTATATAAGCATTTTAACCTTCGACATCTTGCTTTTCTAGTTTTTCATCTGCTGTCTGTTCCTTGGGAAATAGGATGGTTCTGCTCTTACAACTTCGTTGCTTGAGTTAAACAAGGTCAAGACTCAGAGTCAAAATGCAAACGGCGATGAAAATGAACAGTGTATCAGTGATGGTGATCTTGATAACATTGTTGGTGTTGGGGACAGTTCTGGATTAAAGGTATCCTCATTTCTTGAACTTTTTGCTTGCTTATATTTGGCATTAGAAATTCTTTTGGCAAATTACGTGAAAAAAAATTGCAACAGGAACTGGAAACTCCACATCAACTTTTGTGTGAGCTTCGTCCATATCAAAAGCAGGCACTTCATTGGATGACCCAATTGGAGAAAGGAAATTGCACTGATGAGGCAGCAACAATGCTTCACCCATGTTGGGAAGCATACTGTTTAGCAGACAAGTAAGCTATGTTTCTATTACCTGCCACTTTTGTGCTAGTCAGATGAAATATTTACTATATGTTTTATGTCAATAGGAGGGAACTTGTTGTCTACCTTAATTCTTTTACTGGTGATGCTACAATACACTTTCCTAGCACACTTCAAATGGCAAGAGGAGGGGTATGATCTCAATAACCCACCTACAAACAATATTTTTACTTGTCATCTACATTTTGTCACTTTGTTATATAGTTGTTTTGTAATATGTTTATGATATTCATTCTACCTTTGCAGATTTTAGCAGACGCAATGGGTCTCGGAAAAACCGTAATGACCATATCGCTTATGCTTTCCCATTCTTGGAAAACTGCATCAACTGGGTTTCTATGCCCCAACTATGAAGGAGACAAAGTGATCAGCAGTTCTTTAGATGAGTTCGCTAGTCTCCCGTTGAAGGCAACCAAATTTCCAGGCTTTGATAAGAAGCTTCTTGACCAGAAAAGTCTTGAAAATGGTGGTAACCTGATTGTATGTCCGATGACACTTTTAGGACAGTGGAAGGTATTATTTACATCTGATGCTGATAACTTATTACCATGCTTGATGCACGTGCATACTTAGCTTGGTTATACGAAAGTTGTTATTTATTCTTTGTTTTTACTTGTTTCAACTGATTATTTATTTTTTTGCACTTGTTTCAGTCAGAAATTGAAATGCATGCAAAGCCTGGATCTTTATCTGTCTATGTTCATTATGGGCAAAGCAGGCCAAAGGATACGAAACTTCTTTCCCAGAGTGATGTGGTAATCACTACATATGGAGTTCTAACATCTGAATTTTCAGCAGAGGTAGCTTTCGTAGTCTTATTTCGGGTCATTATTATTCCATGTATATAGTTTAAAAATCTATCACATGAACTCCTATCTTCTCTGTTTTTTTTCCTTCTCCTTAGAACTCAGCAGACAGTGGAGGACTTTATGCTGTTCGATGGTTTAGGATTGTTCTTGATGAGGCACATACCATCAAAAACTCAAAAAGCCAAATTTCTTTGGCTGCTGCAGCTCTGGTTGCAGATCGGCGTTGGTGCCTTACGGGTACGCCTATTCAGGTGATTAACCTTTTTGTCGAGGGTTTATATATAAATCTTTGTTTCTGACCGTCCTATAGGCTAAACTTTCGTTGGACTCTGCCATTCTATCTGTGAAATCATTTTAGTAGTTGGACATCTAATATATACCTGAGATTTGAATGGTCTAAATCTCTACTAGAAGGTTATCATCTTCTTAAGCATGTTTTTTGTACACAAGTCTCAGTTTTACCTCAAAACTTTTCTTTTAAGGATAAATTTCATATGGCTTGCAGTATACTGGCATGATAATCTTGGCTCATTCAAATGGATGATGGACAAAGATTTGTTTATCATATTTGGGACTTTGTAATCATTTCACATGTTATCTTATTAACAGAACAATCTGGAGGACTTGTACAGCCTCCTACGATTTTTGAGGATTGAGCCATGGGGAACTTGGGCATGGTAAGGGTCTTTATCTATCTTTGGTTGGAAACACATTACATTTGGTATGGAATGACTGAAGCTTGTTAGTTTGGAACATATTTATTCTTAGGTGGAATAAACTTGTCCAAAAGCCATTTGAAGAGGGCGATGAGAGAGGGCTAAAACTAGTGCAGTCAATCTTAAAACCCATCATGCTTAGGAGAACTAAGTCTAGCACAGATCGAGAAGGAAGGTAGGAATACTACAAATAAAAGATCTGTCATATAACTTCCTGATACTTATAAAACATACTATTTTCCTTTGTTTCCTCGTTTAAAAGCATGTTTGTTTATTTTAGGCCGATTCTTGTTCTACCCCCTGCTGATGCACGGGTCATTTACTGTGAACTCTCAGAGTCTGAGAAGGATTTCTACGATGCGCTATTTAAAAGATCCAAGGTATTGTTTGTCCTCATGATTATAGTATTTTTTTACTCGGAGTTTAAGATGTCTATACTGAAGATGCTGACGTATTTTTTTCAGGTCAAATTTGATCAATTTGTTGCACAAGGCAAAGTTCTTCATAATTATGCTTCAATCCTGGAACTGCTTTTGCGTCTTCGACAGTGTTGTGATCACCCATTTTTAGTGATGAGGTGTGTCTCGTAACCCCTTGCTTTTATTTAAGTAGAGACTCATAGTGGCTGGAACTGGTTGTAAGTTGTAACTTCCATTGCTTTCATATCAATTATAACTTTTCGCATTCAATCTATCTGTTGCCCAACCTTGTCTAAAATATCCAAGAAAATATCATTGACAATATGTTATAAGAATCATGCAACTGTAGCCCTCGTTTTGTTTGACATTTTGTTGACGCAATCGCCATATTTCTTATAACTGTCTTTTTTTTATGCATCCAGCCGAGGTGATACAGCGGAATACTCTGATTTGAATAAGCTCTCAAAACGTTTCCTTAGTGGAAAGTCTTCTTGTCTAGAAAGGGAAGGAAAAGATTTACCATCAGTGGCTTTTGTTCAGGAGGTGGTAGAGGAACTACGCAAAGGAGAACAAGGAGAGTGTCCAATATGCCTTGAAGCGTTTGAGGATGCCGTATTAACTCCATGTGCTCATAGATTATGTCGTGAGTGTCTCTTGGCGAGTTGGCGAAATTCTGCTTCTGGGTTATGTCCCGTGTGTAGGTATCTGGAAGTTCTTCCTGCTGTTACTAGTTTTCATTTGATGTCCTTGCTACTGATTCCATATTTCAGTTAGGTCAAAGGCCAATGATGGTTAATCTTTGTTTTGCAGGAAAACTGTAAGCAAACAAGAACTCATCACAGCACCAACAGAAAGTAGATTCCAAGTTGACGTGGAGAAGAACTGGGTAGAATCATCCAAAATCACTGCTCTTCTGGAAGAGCTTGAAAGTCTTCGTTCTTCAGGCTCCAAGAGCATTCTCTTTAGCCA